CCTCCCACGAAGATGCTGTCCCCAATGGAAATGGGCACATTCTCGTTGGCCTGGGGAGGGACGGGAGATGAGGCTATAAGGAGCAGACTCCCACACCTGCCCCTCTAGAGCAGTAACGGGCCCCACTAAGCAGTGGGTCTGAATTTGAACCACTCCTGCCCCACATCCCGTCAGGCAGCCCGGCTTCTCGCCTGCAGCCGTGTCCCACAGACCGACGCGCCATCTGTTCCTCTCTCAGCCACCAGAGGGCGCCGGCCCTCACTTCTGCTGACAACCTTCCCCCAGGTGGCCTCACACTATCTTCTGCCTGTTTGCTCTGACCTGGCCTCTAGTCCCCTTTGGCCACAAAGTCCTCCTCACTGACGGTCCCTAAACACACTTTGCACCTGCTGTGACTCTGGTCTGGAAGGTTCTTCAGGAGCCTAGACATCCACCTGGCTTTCTCCCTCACCACCTTTAGCTTTTGACTCCGGTGGCACCTAAGACAGACCTCCACTCCGGCTGGTCCGGCCTCATGGCTACCTGCTGTTTTACAGTCTGTGCCCTCCTCGGTGCGTGGGCTCTGGGCCACGCTGTGGGACCTCGGAGGAACAATGAGCCAGCGACTGATCTCTACCACCCTGGTTTTCAGTTGAAGTTCACTGGCCTCACACACCAACACAAGGCCATGAGCACTGAGGGGCAAGAAGGTGAGGACAACGGGAGGAGGGACGAGGGAGTCCGGGGAGCAGCGAGGAGGCTGTGTGCCTGCAGTAGGGGGAGAACAGCCAGTGGGCTGTGGCTCACCTGTTCTTGCAGGTAGTCCCACATGCCGGCCACCGGCTTCCGGTACAAGCCTGCATGCGTGGCAACCAGCACCTGTGGGTCAGATACCACTCCTTGAGCCCCTAAAGCCCTTTGAGGACACACAGGACCCAAGGACATTTCACCATCCCTAACCAATCAGAGGAGAGGTCCCAGGGCCACTTACAATGGGTTTCTGTCCCAATAACCACACGTAGGACCCACTCCCTCTCTGGGTCTCTGTCTCCCTCTCTTTGTTCTGTTCTCTCTGGAACTCCACCCCTCCAGGACTCTGTCCCCTCCCTCCCTCAGGGTCTCTAGAACTCGGCCACCACCCCCCGCCCTGATCCCCCTACTCTCCAGGGTCCCTGTCCCTCTTTCTGGGTCTCTGTCCCCCGTCACCCCTCTTCAGCTTCTCTGGCAGCTGGTACCTGAAAGGGGACTCCCAGCTTTTTCACCACAGCCTCCACCTTGGCCTTGAACTCCTCTGCTGACAGCTTGCCACGCCCAATGCCCATCTGGTTTGTGAAGATCACCAGCTGGGGAGCAGACAGGTGTCACCCAGCACCCGCTTCCCCGTGCCCCGGCCCTCCCCACAGCCTGGGCCCACGGACGCACACACCTTGTAGCCCTCCGCCTCCAGCTCCCGGAGCTTACGTGGGATCTCTTGGTACAAGATCCTGCAGGGGGGCAGGAAGGGGTCAAGGTGACCAGGGGCCTGGCAGGAGCCACACTCACCCCCTTCTCTGGCCTCTCATCACCTCCAGTCACTGGGGCCGGTGGGAAAGACCTTCCCAGAGCGTGTGGTGATGAGGGTCCCATCCAGATCAAAGCCGGCCACCTGGCATCACCAAGAAAAGAAGAGCATGATACCTCTGATCCCCTCACTCAGACTGGTACATGTCAGCCCTGTGACCACAGTTCCCTACAGATGGGGAAAGTGAGTCAGGGAGCCCACACGTCTCGTTAGGCCAGGCACGGCGAAGACGCATCCCCAATGCCTGAGTGCAGAGCCTGAAATCTTCCCTTTCCTGTCTCCTCTTTCCCCCACACCTCTCAGTATTCCAATCTTTACAATAAGGTTCACACCTTACCCACCCTGACCTCCACCTGGAAGGGCCAGTAATGGTGCAAATAAGGCAGGAGCCAGGTTTTGTCTGGGAGCTAACTGCACATCGGGCTGTGCCATCTGGCTTTCTTGGATCCCCCACTTTACCGGTGAGAGAACGGGTCAGAGAGAGTGTGTGACAGCATTTGAACTCGAGTCCCTCGGGGCCTAAGGAACACCATCATAACAGCTGCTGGAATGAGCCCAACTGTTGCTATGGTTACAGGGTAGTTAGGGGTCAGGCAGGAGCTGACATACATGGCTTCATTCTCCCAATGCTCACAGCAATCCCCAAATTTATCATCAAGTCCATTCCTCAGAAAAGTGGAGGGTAATGGAGGTTAAGTGACCTACCCAGAGGCACACAGCAAACGGGGTTGCGTTCCCAGTCTGTGGTGGCCCCTTCAGTCCCCAACTTGGCCCTCACCTTGCCCTGGGGCTTCACCCCAGGTGCGGTGAACACTAGCAGCTTCTGAAGACCCTCCCAGCCAGGAGATGACTTCCGCATCCGCTTCTTCTGTTGTTCAACATCATCCTCGTTTGGGCCCACCGGAGGAGTACCGGGCGGGGTGCCTGGCTGGGATTCTGGCGAGGGGTTCTCTTGCCAGCGCAGGGTCAGCGGGTAGAGACCGTTGACCAAATACAGCGTGTCTCCCACTGCCAGAGAACCCTCAGACCCAGGCTTCATTTCCTGGGTCCCGGCAGTTGAGGGGTTAACTCCCAGCTGCAGAGAAATGGAGAAGAGCTGAGACCAGCTCCACCCCCCAACCACCACCCAACCTCCAATCAATCAACTCAGATAGGACTTGCCTTTCCCCACCTGCCAACCAGACCCCTAAGCCCTGCCTCTTCACTGTGTACCACCAATCAGGGCTTCGGGAAAGTTACAGGTGTTCGGTCTTCTGCCGTTTAAATGTGATGGATACTGCATCGAAGCAGGCAACACTTCGAGGTGTCTTTACTGGCCAACACCTGTTTCCCTCCCAGCCGGATGTTCCCATGAACCTGATGGATTGGGATTCCTCCCCGACCCCACCTCCAGGCCTTCCTGAGGAACTGGTACCTGTTTCACAGCCACCGTCCGAGTCTCAGGGTCCGCGACCAGCTCCACTGAGGGTTGAGAGGGTGGAGTCAGGACATGCATCCCGGGTGATAGCTTCCCTCATTCCCGGAGAACATGGCCAGCGTCAGGTCACAAGATGGCGCTACAGCACCCATTCAGGAGGAGGAGGCAGTTCATGTCTAAAAAGGATTGGCTCACTCCTTGACAAGCAGCAGCCTGGCAAAGGCCTTAGCATTGCCTGTGACACTGCTGTTCGCCTAGGGACAGGGTGGGAATTTTTCTGTATAGAATTGGCGAGGAGTGTGGCCAGATGCAGGTCAGGGGCTTGGCCCGTTACCACTCATCCCTGCTTCACAACACTCATCGCTGTTTCGTACATTTCTCCCTAGGATCAGCTCTCTCCTTGACAAGGGTCGTAGCCTGACCCAACTGTTTACGGTGGCCTGTGAGCCTCCTTCTCTGCCCAATGACGACTGTCTCGGGATAGGCTCGGTAACTTCCGCACCGCCAGGGGTCTGCTTGTTCCGGGTCAGACACAGCCTTTCTCTTCTTGTGCACCCCAGAGGGCACCTGACAACTTTAGGATCGGCTGTACCACACAATTTCGCCTGGCGGCCAAGCATGTCCTTTGATTAATTGACTATCTTTCCCAACGAGCGTTCTCGCTAAGGAAGCAGGCCACACCCCTCCGATTCAGGCCCCGCCCCTGCCTACCTTGGTTTCTGGAGCACTTCCGGTCGGTAACCCGGGTCAGGGGACCGCGGCCCAGGACCAGGGCTTGACCGTCCGTGGGCAGGAAGATGGGGGGTGCTCCCCCAGGGGGACTCTCCAGCCACAGGCCGCCCCTAGTTTCCATCTTGGCCAACCTGTGAGCCTAAGGGCAAGTAGGTAGATAGGTTTGAATGACAGGTCGCCTTCAGTGTCTAAAGGAAGTCCCGCCTCCTCCCGTCCCCTCACCAGGAATTCCCTCCATCCGCTACAGGCTTGGGTAATCCCACCCACTCGTCAGCCTAGGGCTTGGCCTTTTCCCCGGTCAGGACTTCCGGCTCGGTCTTCGGGGAGCCGGGACCCCTACGTCCCAGGGCAAAGGCCGAGGGCCTCGCGCTTCCGCCTCGGCCCAACGCTCACCCGTGGTCTAGCTCACTCCCCAGTTCTGACCAAGGAGGTCCTGTCAAAGGCTCTCAGCCCCCGGCTCCACTCGCGGCTTTCACTTTTTCGGCGGACGGAAATGACTCTTCCTCCGCGAGGAGGCGGGGCCCCATAGCTCCTCCCACGACCGAGGCCCCGCCCCTCCCACACCTCGGGCCTTTGTGGTCCCACCGCAGCTCTGACCTTCATCTCTCTTGCTGCAGTATGAGGCTTAGGCCAGTGGGGGCAAGGGTCCTCTGCTGCAGATTCTCTCACAAGTCTAAATTTTCATTCCCTTTGCTGGGGAGATACTTAGTTACAGCGGGAAGTTTTCTTTCCAATTGAATGATCATTGGCAGTGGAAGAAACACCTGCCCCTGGCAGCATACCTACCCTTCCATGCTGCAATTTTCTCATCTATAAAGTGGGGGTAATCGTTTCCACTTTGTGAAGTTACTAGGAAGATTAAAGCAGTTACCATATGTAAATAATACATGAAAGTGGGTGGTAGCTTTCCCCGTTTAAGTCTCACCTGTTGATAGCGTGCCTGCGGGGGTTATCCGATGAGAGACGGAGAGTCCCCGCTTATCTGACCCAGCCCTCCCTTCGGACCAGGCGCCACTCGCGCTCTAACCTCCAACTGTCTTATGACAAAAAACTCCGACCATAGTTGGCGGTTCCAGGTTTTGCTGGGGACAATGTAGACTCAGGAGACCAATTCTCATTTCAACACTCGCCCACCACCTGCCCGAAAGACTAGGGCTCTATGGTCAAAAGGATTCCCAAAACATGAATGTCCACCTTCTTATCTGTAAAAGGGCAACAATAATTCCCACTCAGCTTTACAGTGAGAACCAACGAGATGCTGCTCATTCGGCTTCAGAAAGTTTGAACGAACATCCACAACACAGCTCGTACTCATTTGACAGAGGTAAAATCTTTAATCTCACAGCGCCCCTCCCAACTCACGATCCCCACCCTCCACTCTCCCCCCAACATCAGGGCCGGAGAGTGATGGTCCCTGCCCCCCACCTTGGGTGGACGAGGGCCCTTTAAGGCACCTGTGGGGGAGGAGAGAGGGGTGGGAGATGGTAATGTCTTGTATACAAGGACGGGCTTCGATTGGCAGGCTGTTATGGGATGGAACCAGTGAGTGTGTAGACACAGGGGCAGGATCGGGCCATCCCTGAGGAGGGGGCCAAAGAGAACAGTTGTCACGATTTAGTAAAATCGACATCAGCCCCAGTAGTGTACGGAACGTAAATCTAAGGCCACAGGCCAATCCTGGGCACAGGAGGGGGGCTTGGCCACACCCCCGGAAGGCTGGATCCAATCAGGTAGGAGAATTCAGGCAGGGCGATGGTGACTCTTAAGAGATTGGTCAAGACCTTCAGGGTTCGAACCAATCAAAGGAAGCCACCCATTTACCAGTGGAGAGCCGCAACCAACCCTGGGGCTTGGTTGTGCTCTTCCAGGGATGGAGCCAATGCCATGGGAGCAAAGCCCTTGTCACTAGGCAGAAAACGATGCGAGTCGCCGCAGTTAGTGCTTAAAACTAGCCACGCCGTTTGGAGAGAGCCAGTCCCTTAATAGAAAGAGTCTGTCGCTAGGCAGAAAAGAGGCTACAGACCCTATCGGGAAACTGGATAGGTCCCCCTCCTTGACAGAGAAGGGGCGGGGTCCGGGGGTGGGGTGGGGGGAAACCCTGGAGGCCGGTCCCAGATCTGACTCCGATTGGCGGTCCCTGGGGGCGGGGCAGGGGTGTAGTGTAGACCGGGGCGGATGCCGGGCGGGCCTGGCTGGGAGACTCTCTCCCTGCACCTCAGTATTTCCTTTTCAGCTTCTGGAAGTCGCTGGTGTTGAGTCGCGGTCGTGGCAGGTCCCCGAAGACCTGGGTGTCCTCAGCCTCCCGCAGCACCAGAGCGCGCATGCTAGCCGCGATGCGGTCCAGGTCCGGGGAAGAGGGCTGCAGGGGCAGCGACGCAGACCGCGTCACTGCCCGCAGTGGAGCCCACAGTAACCCCTTACCCTGCATCCCCACCCCCTCCCCAGCGATCAGCCACAGCACCCTGGGCTCCAGGGCCCCTCCCAGCACTTTTACCCATGGCCAGAAGGCCCTTCACCCTGTCTTGCTCAGTATGGAACCTTCCTACCCAGCTCAAACACCACCTCCTCCAAGAAGCCTTCCTGCCCTTCTCCTCCCCATCTTGGCCTGGACCACCGCGTTCCAGCTCCTCCTCACACTGTGAAAGGTATTTCTGTGCTGGCCGGCAGGCTGTGTGCACCAAGGGGGTCTCACATCTAAGGACTCGGGTCTGAATTCAATCACATACCAACAAAACCTCTGCCACCCACTAGCTATCCCCAGGGCTTTCACCTCTGTCAAAGACTTTGGTCTCCCTGTCTGAAAATTGGGGCAGTAGTGGGGTCTGAGAAAATCAACACAGAGGCTGCTCTGACACAGTGGACTAGCACGTCGCTAGTGCTGTTTAGAAAAGATCCCTCTCCACTTCGGCCTCCAGCACCTAGTGCTACCTCTCTTATAGTCCCTCTGTCACTTTGAGGGAACTGGGCCTGGTCCCCAGCAGGATGGAAGGCCACCAACAGAAGCTGGACCTGAACCCGGTCAGAGACCAGCCCAGGGCTCAGATCTCAGGACTCGAAAGCTGCTCACTAACTGCGTTTCCGCCAGCGGCCAACAGACAGCAGCAGCTGCCGGATCCCGCCAGTGCGCAAATGAGGGTGTGGAGGCCCCGGGGGGCGGACCAGGGGACCCGAGGCCTCCTTCCTCGGGGCCCATAGCTCCTTTCCCCGCTCTGCCCCCTACAGGCTGAGGTACTGGGGAAATCCTATGTGTTCTCAGTGCCTCAGTTTCCCCTCTACTTCACCCAGGCCAGCCCAGGAACAGCACATGCAGGACCATACGGGAGGAACAGAGGACAAGGTGGGGGCAGACAGAATCCGGGTGGGGCCTGGAACACTTGGGGTACGGCGGTGGAAGGAGATTGGACCCCTCTGAGCCTCAGTTTTCCCATCTAAAGGGGATACCAAAGTCCTTGTGCCTTGCCAGCAGTATGCATTCTATAAACAGAGCTGTTCCTGGAAATGAAAAGGTTTTCTCTCCAAGACACTGGGACACTTTGTAAGGCTGCAACAGTTAACACTGCATGGCTCCCACCCAAGAACCTGCCTGGTTCTTTGAGGTAGGAGGAGTGAGGTAGGATTAATCCTATGCAACGTGGCATCCACATCTGAGGGCTTCCTGGAGGAGGTGGCTTTGGGCCATTCCCACCACCCTGCTCACCCCTCCCATTTGCCACTCACCGGCCCATTCTCCTCATCTGATGACCGTGCTTCTGTCCTCTTCTCCTTGAAGGGCCAGATGGGCACAGACACAGGCAGGGACTTGGCGTACTGCTGGGTGGGCAGGGCTGAGGCCGGGGGCACTGAGAATGCCGTAGGGCCAGTGGGGGTCTCCTCGCTCAGGCTGCCATCTGGGAAAGAGTGGACTTCAGCCTCTGTCCCTATACCTACATCCCAGCCACCCCTCATCCCAAGCCCGGGATAGCCTGGGACACTCACCGTCCGTGCTCTCAGGGTCTGACTCGCAGAACGGAGGCAGGTTCTGGAGCGTGGCGTCCTCATCCATCACAAAGAGCCCTGTGTGTGACGTCAGAGGCCCAGACTGGTCAGGCCACTCCCACCTGCCGTGCGCTCTGGCCTCCAGCTACTGCCTCCCTGCTCCCTGCATTGGCCAGGCCCTTGGACTCTCAGGGTTTCCGGAAGCATTATTCCCTCTGCCTCAAACACCCTTTCCCTGGTTATCTGCTTGGTCATCAGCAGAAACAAATCTAGTCTCTGTCTGTTACACCCCCAGGTCAAGCAACTGGCTTGGCAGGAAATCTGTAAGGGCTGTCTGGGATGAGCTGACTCAAAATACAGGTAGAAGGAAACAGGAGATTATTGCTCCAGCTGGTGTGGCTCAGCTGGTTGTGCACAGTCCCACCAAGGAAGAGATCACAGGTTTGATTCCCCACCAGGGCGCACAGCCAGGGTTGCAAGTTCCCCAGGACGGGGCACATAAAAGAGGAAACCAATGGGTATTTCTCGCTCACATTATTGTTTCTCTCCCTCCCTCCTGTCCCCTCTCTCTAAAAATAAAATATTTTAAAAGAGAAATATGAGATTACGATCCATTTGACAAACAGGAACCCGAAGGCACAAAGAGGTTAAGCCACATGCCTGAAGTCCCATAGTTAACATTTGGCGTAATGGGGATTTGAACCCAGGCCATTGGCTCCAGCATTTATACCCTTAACCCTATGCAGGGTTCCCCAGCAACAGGGAGGAAGCCAGCTGCTGGTAGTAACAACAACAAACAGGGAATTCGTATTCACTGAGCCCCCTGCAAATCCCACTCATTCTCAAAAGCCCTAACATTAGCCCACTCTCTGGGAGGCATCCAACCTCTGGATTCCCCTGAGAAACTGCCCGTCGCTCCCTGCCCTGGCCTTCCTGGCTGTTGCTTGCATCCCCACTAGCCTTTTAACTGCTATCTTCATTCTCACAGGCATTAGGCCCCCAGATTTGGAAATAAAGCCCATTCTGTTCATCGTCCCAGCTCAGCAGGCCCCCTCCCAAGCCCACAGCCCCCACAGGTGCTGCCTCACAGCAGGCCTCCAGTTCTTTGGCTAAACGGGGAGTCCCCTGGGTTGGCTCTTGGTCTACGCCCAGCACCGTCCAGCATGCGCTGGACCCAGGACATCGTGTAAGGAGACTGAGGCTCAGACAGGGAAAAGACTCGCTCGTGGTCACACGGTGAGTCACAGGCAGGCCGGCCTGGCGCCCAGGCTCTTTGGGACTCTAGCCTTCATGAAACCTGAGAGACAAGCAAGTGCCGGGCCTCTAGGAGAGCCGACCTCGGAGGCAACCGGCCCGACAGAGCGCTGCCCCTGCCCTCTCACCTCCGTTATCACTGACGCCCAGCCGCTCCCCAGAGGTCTCCGTGTCTGTCGGCTCATCTTCGTCCTCCTTGTCCTCCTCCCTGGGCAGGGTGGGCTGGGGCGGGCTCCCTACAGGGCTCGGTGGCTGGGGTGCTGGTGGGGGCCCAGGGGGCCGGAAAGTGGTGGCAGCCCTGTGGGCCAGGGCGATGTCCTGGAGGCAGTGGCGGGCGGCCTCGGCCAGAGCCCCACGGCCGTGGGCTGCATAGGCGCAAGGGCCCGGGCGGGGCGGCGGGGGTGGCGCGGCGGTCAGCAGCACTAGCTCCGTGCCCGTCCGGGTCCGGAAGCGCTCGGCGGCCCCCACCACAGCCTCCCACAGCTCCTCGGGGCGCCCCGAATCCATCCGTACCCTGTGGGGTAAAGCAGGACAAAGTGGGGTGAGGCTGGGCGGATGGTGCTGTCCTCACCCAGGCCCCTGTATCCATCTGTTCCTGGACACCACTCCCATCCCTCCCACCCACCTGCCCCAGCTCTCAGCCTTGTCCCCCAAACCTGCCATTCCCCAAGAACTCCTCCCCATTCAGACTTCAACCCCTCACCTCCATCCCTCCTGCCCTGCCCTTTCCCCAGAGCCCCCATCTCTCCTCTTGGCCCTGTCCTTGGGAGCCACTAGCCACAGGTGAGGAAGGAACACTTGAGATGTGGCGGGTCCAAAGTGGGAGGTGCTGTGCATGGTGTGAAAACCCCACGGTGTTCTGAAGACTTAGCACACAAATACTGGGATGCAAAGTATCTCATGAGCAATCTGACGGTGACTACACACCGAAATGATGATGTTTTAGATGTATCAGCTAAATAAAATATATAGTGAAGATAAACTTCCTCTGTTTTTTTACTTTTTTTCAGCGTGGCCTCTGGGGAATTTGACGTTAGAGGCATGGCTTGTATTACATCTCTATTGGACAGGGATGCTCTGCTCTCACCACGGCCTCTGCCGGGCTCCCAGCCAGGCAGCACGCAGCCCTGCAGCGGTTCTTCCACATCTGGAGCCCAGCCTGCCCCCCCAGCACCCCAGGACAAGGTTACAGCCACTTCCAGACATCTGGGGCCTGAGGTCTTTGGTCAAAATGCTTCCCCCCACTTCCTCCATTTACTTACTCTTTCCCTCACCTCTAAATCAGGTCACCCACCCCACCTGGCCCCGTAGGATCCCCCAACATCTGTGTGACCCCCACTCCAGGACATCTCTCTCTGAGTAGTCTGGATCAACGCCCATCTCCCCAGCCAGTGTGGGAGCCCCTGAGGGGGCCATGTCAGGTTCCCCTCTGGGCCACCAGCAGCCTTGCCCAGCACATGGCAGACCTGAGAACAGGGCTGATCAGAAAATGGTGTGCAGGCCCTGGCTGGTGTGGCTCAGTTGGTTGGAGCGTCATCCCATAAATCCAGGGGTTGCAGGTTCGATCCCCAGAGCACATATGGAGGCAACCAATCAATGTTTCTCTCTCCCTCTTCCTTCCTCTCTCCAAAAGCAATGAAAAAAATGTCCTCACATGAGGTTGGAAAAAAAAAACCCTAATAAAATAAAAAGAAACACAACAGTGTGCAAGTTGCCGTCTGCCTGGACTCTGCCTGCAAAGCTTTTTTCAAGGACATGCCTCAAAAGTGAGGCAACCAGAGCTCCTGGAACACAAAGCCCCACCCAGTAAGAGCACAACCCACACCCTTCCTGACGGACCCCGTGAAACGTTTATCGGGCACCTGCCCCATGCCAGGCAGGGACCCAAGTGTCATCCACATTCTCATGCTGCCCTCTCACCAGTTGTGTGAGGGAGCAGCCGTTGTCACCCCCCCTTTACACTCGCAACAGATACCCAGGGAAGTCAGTACCGCACCAGAGTCAGACTGCTGGAGAGGAGAGCTGGGCCCCTGATCTGGCCGGCTGCAGCCAGGGCCTGTTCTGAATATGGGAAAGCCACCCCACCCACTTTGTGAGGAAACATTTATCATCTCCTAGCCCAGGTGGGGAAAGTGAGGCTCAAAGAGCTTAAAGCACTGGCTGGAGGCACACAGCTAGAAAGGGCAGATGGAGGGGCGCCACTGCTGTCTGCCCAACTCCAGAACCTAACAGGCTGGGAGGTGCTCAGGGGCTCTTTGCCAATCCTTGAGTCATCCCCATATGACGGAGGAGGAAACTAAAACCCAGGGCAGGGAAATGACTGCTCTAAAGTCACACAGCTTAGCAGTGCTAGGACTGTGGCTCTTACTGCCTTGGGACACCAGGATTAAACCCCTCTCTGTCCAGATCTTAGCATAACCACAGGGCTGCAAAGAAAGAAATGGGGGTGAGTGAGGGTGTCCCCCTCCCCCGCCTCAGAGAGCATGCACAAAGAGGAGAAGGGTGCAGCAGACTTCTCTGGGGAGTGTGCAGTCGGTTACCCAAAAGGAAAGAAACCAAGACTCGGGGAGTCTCCCACCCCTACAGCTTCTGGAGGAAGTCCTGCCTCTTCAAAGAGCTGAGGGATGGAGGACTTCTCCCCTCCCCTCAAATGGGGCAGTTTAAGATTAGAGAGAGAGGAAAAGAAAATGACAACTGTCCCCCATGGGACAAGCATGGGGAGCTAAGGCGACTGGCCTCTTAGGAGAAGGTCAGGCGGTGAAGAGAAGAAACTGACTCCAGGAAGAGGTGAGGAAAGAGAAAAAGTTCCCAAAGGAATGAAGGATGCTAATGAAAGCTCCCCTTTTAACCACCTGTCAAGCTGGAAATGCCACCCCAAACTCCGCTAGAAAGTGAGAGGAAATCGAGGATGCACCCCGTGTCCGGGAAAAGGGTGAAAGTCTGGGGTCTCTCTCCACCGCTCACTGACGGCCGAAGCACACCCGGGGACCAGCGAAGACCCACTGCTCCAGAGGGAAAACAGGAAATCCCGCCCAGGTGGGGAGCAGAGCCGGAAGTCCCGCCTTTAGTCGGGTGAGGGGCGTCCAAGAACCCCCGGCGCCTGCCCCGAGCAACCCCTGACCCCGGGGATGTAGTCCACAGTCAAAGTAAAAATCCTAATGGGTCTGAAGACCGGAAGATAAGGCCGTCTAGGCTTTCCATTAGCTCAGAGATGACGGGTCACGTCAGCGACCCCTTTCCAGCGCTCAGCGTAGGGTCGCTGGACAATCTCTGCCTCTCGACCTACTCAGCCTACATCATTCCCGAGAGCTGTTCATCCTCCCAGCGCCCCTGTCCTGGGGACCGCCAAAGCCTCCCCACACCGTGGTACACAACGCCGCCTCCACTCACGTGCCCGTAGCCAGCATGGCCGGCCCGGCGCCGTCGCCGCCCTCAAAAGACATGGCGACCCCGTGCGTCACTTCCGCGCATTTAGCCCGCCCCCGAGCTGCATAGACCACCTCCCCAATACTGGGTGCCCGAGACCAAGATGGCGGCAGGGGCTTCCGCGGAAGCTAGATACCCATACGAAAGAAAGGAAAAGTTTCAGCGTGTTCGGAAACGAGCCTCGACCATTTCCATTTGACCCCAAGAAATATGTTGGCTTGCACATACACATTCATGACCACAGTCAACTAAGGCAACCGATCTGATGTCCCTCACTTATAATCAAACATTTCCACGTAAGTGGAGGAAAGCAGTGCCCTTTAATGACATGGCCACCAGCCTGACATCGTTTGCCTGTAATGTATATGGGCTCTCCAGCCTAGCCCCGTGCAGCACCAAGTCTGGCAAAGATCCAGCAAGGTAGCCTTTCTAGCTTCAGTCTGCCCAGCTTCAACGTGGCGGCTCAGACGGCTTTCTCTCCACGGCGACTCAAGAATTCATGGGGGACCGTTTCGTTCCCGGAGATACTGACGGCTTCATCCTGTTAACCCGAACCCATCGGCGCCTGTTGTGATGTACAGTTTCTCTCACCTTCTTTCCTTTTCTCGGTTTCTGTTTTCCAGGACCTCGCTGTTGCGCCCCCGAGAGGGATGGGACTGCCCCGCGTTAACATGATCTCAGCTGACCGTCTTTATCCGTGCCCGCAAGCAAGATGGCACCTCTTCGGCTTCGATGCCAGTTTACAATATGGAGAAAGGAGGCGGTGTTTTGGACAGCTTGAGCGAGGGGGTGGAGCTCTGGGACCCGCCCCCTTGTTTACTTCGCCGAGAGGACGGTAGCACCACGCCTGCGCACCCTCGCTGGCTGGCTCCACCTTTACCGTCTGCGCCTTGTGATTAAACCCACGTGGTTCAAGTTCAACCACCCCATTCTGAAAGATAGTTACATCCACTCCTCTTCGAGAACAGGCAAGGGTGCTACCACTGTCCGCGGTTGAGGGGAGTCTCCTATCCGGATGTGACAGTACGTTGACCCGGAAAAGGAGGGAGCTGGGTCAGTGGGTCCTCGGCCGCGGCTATGGAGGGAACCGGTTACAGGGTAAGCGCCGAGGAAGCATTTTTTCGCTTCTGTCTATTTGAAACGCCACCCCGCCGTGATCGGCTTTTCCCTCAGGCCGTGCGAGGGCTCTGGGAACTCGGCTGATCCTTAGCAAATGTTCCATTCTCTGATAAACGCCCTGGCGCCCTTCCCTCCACTGCCCTAGGGAAGACACATGTCTTCTGGCCCTGCCTTCTGCGCCGCTGGTATACTCTTTTGGGCCCCGATCCTTTTGGAATAGTCTCCCCCGCCCCCTATCCTCCTTCCAACCCCGGACGCCTTGGTTGCATGCTGGTATTTGGGGTTCACCACTCCCAGTCCCCAGCTTTAGGCAATAGTTCCCTAGGCCCCGCCCCTGGAGGTAAATCGCACTCCCTAGGTCCGCTCCCTTATGGGCCCCACCCCTCGGGTGTAGTCCTGCGTTTGGGCCCTTCCCCTCACTGGTTCCCATCCGCAGGTGGTGTTTGAGAAGGGAGGCGTGTACCTGCACACTAGTGCCAAGAAGCATCAAGACCCGGACTCCCTCATCGCCGGGGTCATCCGTGTTGTGGAGAAGGTGGGCCAGGTGACAGCAGAGCTCAGGCAGGCCCAGAGCGGGTTGTAGGCTGCCTCTGTGGGAGTATGGTTTGGTTGTCAGCAGTGGGACCTTAGGGATACTGGGTGGTGACTGGAGAGAGAAGCATTGCTTTGTCAGGCCGAGAATCCAAAATGGGGAAGAAATTTGGCAATATGGTTTGGGGAGTTAGGAGAGGAGCCTGTCTAACCCTTCGCTGCTTCCCTCAGGACAATGATGTCGTCCTGCACTGGGCTCCTGTAGAGGAGGCTGGAGATGCCACCCAAATCCTCTTTTCCAAGAAGGTAGGCTTCCTTTTTCTCTTGCTTTCTCCTGGGTCCAGGCAGTGGAAGGCATTTGGAAGAGTTAGGTATAATCCCAGACGTTCTTGTGGGGCAGATGTGACCCTGTTTGGCTTCCTCATCTCTGTGAAATGGGGCTGAAGATGCCTATTCATAAAAAGAAAGCAGATGCCTCGAAGTTCATGGCCATGGGGGCAGCTGCCCCCTTAATCCCCCACGCTGCCACCAGGACACAAGAGGACCACTCAGCCTGTGGATTTGTGTTCCGCGGGCTGTTAGCCAGTAAGAACTTGAAGAAACGTGGTGTTATATCTGGGACAGTCCTGCCATCACGTCCATAGAGGGAACAGGACCTGACTGAGGCTTCGTTCTCACTTCAGTAGCACTCCCCAGTGCACGCCCCAGTATGAGACCTTGCCCTTCCCAGTGCGTCCTCTCCTGGGGCTGCTTCTTGCCAGGCCCTGTGCTGGACAGTGCTGGCAGCCAGAGAAAGTCCATCCTAGACCCTGCCTACTCCCTCACCCCGTCCTGTTTTTGAGAAATTGAGGCACAACAAGAGGTAGTCCCTTTTCCGAGGTCAGAAAAGCTAGGAAGGGTTAGAACTTGGGTTTGAAGGCAGGCACATGGGTTCCAGTGCCCTGCGGCTTCTGAGGGAGTAGCCGTTTGGGCTGGGATTCCAAAGATGGGAAGAGGGCAGGAGGAAGTGTGTTTCAGGGCACAGGGAGGTGGGATGTCTCTGTAGAGTGATTTATTGGCAGGGGGGTTAGGCCTGAAATGCCAGGTTCAGAAGCTTGGACCCCACCCTGGGAGCCCAGAGGGAACCATAGGAGGAGAAGGGTGTGAGTGTAGAAAGCCCCTCATGGGGGCTTGTGGGAAATGGACCAGAGGACTGAATGGAGGGAGATTGGAGGCTAGCAGGCTAGGGAGGGAGGACGAAGCATCATCTGGGGCCATGAGGTTTCAGAGGACCGAGGGGAGAGTGCAAATGGAGATTCCAGAAACCACCACCATCACCACCACCACCCTTGCTCAGGGAGTTGGAGCAGAAACGACCAGGATTTTGTATTTTTCACCACCCTGGAAAGCAGTCTGGGGTGTTCTTGAGTCTATTGCTGCCCTTCCTGGCACTCTTGTTGCCAGTTAACAGAAATCCACAGGACGGGCTTCAGCAGAAAGGTCGGACGTGTATTCAGGATGCATTCAGCTCCAGGGAACTCAAAGCCAGGCTGACCCCAGGCTAAGCAAACAAGTTTGTCTCTTTCATCTCCTAAGACTCCAAGAGGTATGGGCCAGTTGGCCTTGATTGTTGATGGATGTCAGGGCCTGGATCACTGAGACCCTGCAGTGATTTCCCTAATGGCTTTTAAATAACTGCTTCAGTTCTGTCTGGGTAGCTCAGATGGTTAGAGCATGGTCCTGATATGCCAAGATTGTGGGTTCGATCCCTGGTCAGGGCACATATAAGAGTCAACCAATGAATGCATCAATAAGTGGAACAACAATGTTTCTTTCTCTTGCTCTCTCCCTTTGCCTCTTTTCAAAATCAGTAAATAAGAATTAAAAAGGAAAAATGCTTCAGCTCCAGCTGGGGCATCTACCTGTTGAGGCAGGAAGACTGGGGCAAGCAGGGTGCCCATCACAACTGTTCTCATCAGGAAGAACCAGAGATTCCCAGAAGCCCTTTGCATTGGTTAGTTGTGTTTAGCTGTACACAACAAAAGGAGCAGTGACAGTGGCCCACACAAGGTAGCAGCTCATTTCTCTCCCATTAAAACACCCAGAAGCGTAGGTTCCTGGGTCATCAGACACCCATTTTCGCTCTTCTGTCCCTTGCATATCGTCTCCATCCTCAACATGTTATTGGCAAGACTGTCTCATGGTCCAAAAAGGCTGCTGGAACTTCAGCAGTATTAATTCACTCTACATGTGTGTTGCAGGTTAGCCAGTGAGCCTTGCTTATCACGATTACTGCTAGAGCAGCCACCATCTTAAAAGTTGCCACTCCTTGTGGCAGAGGGAAAGAGACAGGTCTTCCACTGATGATCAACCAGTCCATCCTGGAAGTGCCACATGCCAGCCCCTTGGCCAGAGCCAGCTGCATGGCTCCAGCCAGCAGAGGTCAATGGGCTGCAATCCTGCTGTTTGCATGAGAGGCAGAGAGCTGCTAATACTTGGCCAATAACACAGGGGGCAGAGGTGGCTTTGCTAGGGCTGGTTTGGGAGTCCCACGGACAGGTGTCCTGTCACAGCTCCAAACACCGTGTCCTCCTTCAGCAGCATCAAAAGGTGAACTGAAGGGTGTTCACTCCTGTAGGTGACTTTCTTTTCCATGAAGTTCCCTTTCTCACACTCTCCACAGATATCCTCTCAACTCCCACTGGCCGGAATTGAGTCTCTAGGTCACTTTGAACTGCAGAGAATGCTGGGAAAATGAGTACTGGGAGAGTTTGGCTTCTGATGAGGGAGGGGCCTGGTCAGCCTGGAAGCAGCGGCAGAAATGGCTGCTGGGTAGACAGAGCCACAGTCCGGGTCCTCTCAGAGTTATTGCTCTCGTTAACATAAGAAACATCCAAACCTGTGAGAATTTTTATGTTTCTGTAGCCGTACTGATGACAAGTCCAGGA